AAAATCATCACTTTTCTGTTCGTCATCCTTCTGGTCATATAAGGGGCTCGATTCTGACGACGAATCATGGTCGGCATAACTAACCAATGGTTTCAATATTACTTTGTTTCTGTACATTCTCGCAGTGATTGTGGGAGGATTTGCTGTGTTTCATGGTTTTTCTTTCTTTATGTCTTCTTTTAATCTGTTTAAGAATTTTTGGGAAGTGTTCAAGCATAAGTTTTTCCACAGGATAAAAGCTCAATTCATCCAGATCCCTGGGTGAAAGGCCAAAAGTACCTAAAATGTTACTGATTCCTTTTGAATCAAATGATTTGGGAACATTTGATGACTGTTGCTTTTGATGTGCAATCTCAGTTATATGTATTAGGTCAGTAAAGTGTGGCTTTGAGCTCAAACTTTTATAGGCACTAAGGGCATTAGGAGACAAAGGGTCATGGACCTGAAACGTTGACTCACTTTCCTTTCTCCATTGATGCTGCCTGACCTGCTGAGTGTTTCCAACAACTTCTGTTTTTGTATTAGGATGTTGGTCTGACGCAGAAATTTCAATACAAGTATCATGAAAGTGAACCTTTTTAGTAGAAACATTATTACTAGGGCTTGTGCCAAAGCTTGACGTATTAGTAGAATGTAGTGACTACATCAAGCAGAAATCTTTCATACATAGTAAGGACCAGTCAGTTGCAGAAACTCAAGTTAACTTGATCCAAAAAAACTCCAGGGATTCAATTTCTCCGACAATCTTGCCAAACTGAAAATTAAAGAAATTCAGTTATCCAAGCATACTTTACTGACCTAATACATTTTGGATCCGATTAGAAAATAGTCCAACAAAGCATGAGTACTGAATTTTTCAATGCTTGGGAGTCCTGTAGCTCAGTGGTTAGAGCACTCGCCTTGCAAGCGAGAGACCTGGGTTCAATTCTAGGCAGTGAGAAACCTTGGGCAAGTTTCCTTACTCCACACAGAGCCTAATAATAATCCCTCCAAAACCAAAAACAATAATAAATTGGTCATTTTCAATCCACGACTGTTTATGAGACACTGCTGTGCGCAATTGGCTGCCGCATTTCGCCCACAAATTATACGGTCAATTCACTTTATGGCATATTCTGGAAAGGGGTTTGAGACATTGAGAAGACGTGAAAAGCGCAATAAAGGAAAAAAGGTTAGTTAAAGGTAGAGTGGGGCCAATCAAAGACAATGACGGCAATCTTGTTGTGGAGGCAGAGGGCGTGGCTGATGTACTGAACGAGTACTTTGCATCTGTCATTCACAACGGAAATGGATGCCCCAAATGCCGCAGTATTGGATGAGAGGGTAGAGGACATAGATCAGATTACTATAGACAGAGAGGAAGTTCTGAAAAGATTGACTGGGCTCAAAATTGATAAGTCACCAGGACCAGATGGGTTTCACCCAAGGTTGCTGTGGGAGATACGGGTTCAAATAGCAGAGGCTTTGGCCATTATATTTCAATCTTCATTGGACACAGGAGTGGTGCCAAGAGACTGGAGAGTGGCTAATGTTACCCCACTCTACAAAAAGGGGCAGAAAGACAAACCCGGAAATTACAGGCCAGTCAGCCTAACTTCGGTAATAGGAAAACTACTGGAGACTATAATCCGGGACAGAATAAATCTCTACTTAAAGGAACATGAGGTAATTAGAGACAGCCAACATGGATTTGTTAAAGGCAAATCTTGCCTAACAAATCTAATAGAATTTTTTGAAGAGGTGACTGCGAGGGTTGATGAGGGAAATGCGGTGGACGTTATTTACATGGATTTCAAAAAGGCTTTTGACACAGTACCGCATAAGAGATTAATACAAAAATTAGAGGCCCACGGTATTAAGGGGACAGTGGCAGTTTGGATTAGGAACTGGCTGAGTGACAGAAAGCAGAGGGTGGTGGTTAATGGGTGTTTCTCGAAATGGAAGGAGGTGTGCAGCGGTGTCCCCCAGGGATCGGTATTGGGACCACTGCTCTTTCTAATATATATTAATGATCTGGACTTGGGCATAGAGAGCACTATTTCCAAGTTTGCAGATGATACAAAGTTAGGTAGGGTAGTAAATAGTGAGGAGGACTGTAACCAACTGCAAGCAGACATACACAGAATGGTGGAATGGGCTGACATGTGGCAGATGGATTTCAATGTGGATAAGTGTGAGGTGATACACTTAGGTAGGAAAAATGATAGGAGGCAATATAGACTTGGTAGCTCAATCTTAAGGGGGGTGAACGTACAGAGAGATCTGGGTGTTCAAGTAAGCGAATCATTAAAGGTAGCGGGGCAGGTAGATAAGGCAGTAAAAAAGGCATTTGGTGTACTGAGCTTTATTAGTAGGGACATAGAGTATAAGAGTAGGGAGGTTATGCTTAATCTGTACAAAACACTGGTTAGGCCTCAGCTGGAGTACTGCGTCCAGTTCTGGGCACCTTACTTCAGAAAGGACATTAAGGCACTGGAAAGGGTACAGAGGAGATTCACGAGAATGATACCAGGAATGGGGAACCTTAGCTATGAGGACAGGCTGGAGAAGTTAGGACTTTTCCCATTAGAGCAGAGGTTACTCGGGGACCTGATAGAGGTCTTCAAGATCATGAAAGGTTTCGACAGGCGAGATAGGAAAAAGCTGTTTCCGCTGGTAGGTGTGTCTGTGACTCGTGGTCACAGTCTTAAGATATCTACCAAAAGAAGCAGAGGGGAGGTTAGAAGAAATGTTTTCACTCAGCGAGTTTTATCAAATTTGGAATGATCTGCCCGAAAGGGCAGTGAAGTCCGATTCGATAACAGCTTTTAAGAGAGAACTGGAGAGGTATCTGGGGAAGACGGGTTTGCAGGATTATGGGGAGAAAGCTGGTGATTAGGGTTAGTGAAAGTGACTTGCTCTGTGAAAGAGCCGGCACAGACTCGATGGGCCGAATGGCCTCCTTCTGTGCCATAACATTCTATGAATTTATGAATCAAATGCAAGGATTATTATTATTATATTTTATTTACTTGATTACCCAGCATAAAAATGATGGCCCTCGCACCGATCTTCTGGACATCTAAATAGATAAACGCTTGTTCTGAATACAATTAAGTATTTCCAAATACAATTATCATGATTTTTCCACGTTTCAATTGTTGGGTCAGTGCACTGTAGAGAAGATAACAGGACTTTGTGGACACTCTATACATATGGAGTCCTGTAGCTCAGTGGTTAGAGCACTTGCTTTGCAAGCGAGACTCGAGTTCAATTCCAGACAGGGCGAAACCTTGGGCAAGTTTCCTTACTCCACACAGAGCCTAATAATAATCCCTCCAAAACCAATTGCTGTGCGCAATTGGCTGCAGCGTTTGCCCACAAATATACAGTCAATTCACTTTACAGTGTGTTCTGTGAAGCGCTTTGGGATGTCCAGAAGACGTGAAAAGCGCTATTGGAAATGCAAGGATTATTATTATTATATTGAAATGAGGGAAAAGATGTTGTGAACAGCTGTACCGTGCTCTTGTTCCTGCCCCTAACGATCACTTTATGTTCATGAGCAAAATGGGGAAAACATACATATGGCTGATTTAAATGATGAATTCCTGTGAAGCGGTTGGTGTGTCCCTGGCTGCCAGGCTCACGCCGCATCTCTTCAGATATACCTTCAGTACAAAATGGCGACAGCGCCACGCTCGGATAAAAGTCCCTTAACCGCCACTCTGACACTGTCTCCTGACAGAAACTATGCCCTGATCCGTTGTCGCTCTGGGAATGTAATATTCTAACCGTGACATTCGCCATAAAACACATCCAGTTCCTCGTCCACCGTCACTCGGCTTTCTTACCTTGCGCAGCAAAGGCGTCCCATGACACACCACGCCATCGGCTGCCAGGACTCCCACACTGCACTGCGCGGCCTACCAGCAGCATTGGGGTGCAGTGACACAGAGCCGTACGGTGTGAGGTAAGAGCAGGTCCTCAGCCTCAGTCAGTGGGGATGACAGTGTGAGACCCCCCGCACCATGTTTTCAACGTCGGCGCTGCCAGGATGTGGCTTCACCTACAAATACACATTCAGTGCACTTTTATAGTTTTCACTTTATAGTATAATCTGTGAAGCGATTTGAGATGTCTCAAAGACGTGATAAGGCACTACATCAAATGCAAGGATTATTATTATTGCTGTGAAGCATTTCAAGATGTTTCAACAACCGTAAATAAATAATTATGTTAGATGTGATCTGGTGACCGAGAAGTTTGCCTTTTTTATTACGGGATGTAAGCTGGCTGTGCTCCTAAATCAAACCAGCTCTCATGGCCCATCCCAACCACCACATTACAACAAACATCTGTTTCCATTGCACAAGGTTTTAAGAAAACAAACATTTCTGTAACCAACCAGAAATATGGCAGGTCTGTCAAGTTGGAACCAATCAGAACTACAAAATCCACAGAAAAATACCGTTGGTAGCCTGCAGGGACAACAATCCAATGCAGTTGCACATGTAAAGTACAGTCAATCCACTTTACAATATATTCTGTGAAGACCTTTGAGAAGTCTCAACGACATAAACACTATATTGAATACAAAAATTATTACTGATGAGGATGCATTATATTGTTGGGAGTTACCATCCTTCGATTGAGGCATTAAACCAAAGTTCTATGTGCTGTTCAGGTGGAGGTTAGATTCCATGGCACAATTCAGAAAGAGGAGTTTTTCCTGGTGTCTTGAATAAAATTGCTCATTCACTTTTTGGGTGTTTGTGGGATGTTGCTGTGCACAAATTGATTGCCGAGTTTGCTCACACAATAGTCACTCCACTTTACAGTAAATCCTGTGAAGTGCTTCAAGATAGTCTCCTGACATGGGAAGGCGGTATATCTAATTATTTGATTAAGGATTATTATTGTCTCCCCAGTCTATAAATTATGCTTAACTCTTTATCTTTTGCCTTTTCGTTAAAGACAATAGATATAACAAAGATTCCAATGCAGGTACAACACGTAAATAATCTGAAACGTGGAGCTTTATTTGAACAAAAAGGGTTACAAAACTACTTTTATTTCTACTGAAACTAAAACAGGATAGATGAACAGCAGTTTCCACACTTTACTCCCTCTTGATTAAAGCTGCAGTGCTTCACACAAATTGGTTGGCAAACACACTTGGCTTCATAGGCTGCATTCTTGATACCTTCATTAGCAAACAATTCTCTGGAAGCATCTGTTACTCCACACTCATGCAGGATACACTTGCCAATAAGCACAACTCCCAGTAGGTCACACGTAAAAGGCTACTATCCAAAATACTTCGCCCACACTGCAGGTCACCACATCTAAAAGAGGTTCCAACATTAAAACATACTACCCCAAAAAACATAAAATTGCTGTTATCTGCAAAAGCAAAAGAGGCATTCAACAAATTAAACTCACATTTCCAGTAACAGGACTAACATGAGCACAATATGCCAATACATCCCAGTCCAATATTAATCCTTTGTCATAGTTATCAAAAACACAAATATGGTCTACTAAAATTATTTACAGTAAACTGGGATGGACCAAAAGGATGCATACAACCGCTTACACAACACAAGACTGACTCTATAACATTACAGATTAAGTCAGAGGTCTTATTGGAAATTTTCGCACACTGGATTTCAATAGAAGTGTGTGAAACTGTATTTTACAAAAACGGTTTATATTAGAATGGTGAATACTCTACACGGTCAGTTAAAAGCTCTGAATCAGTTCATGAAATTGTACAATGTAGTATTGATATTGACTACTTTAGGCCGGATCATAAAGAAGAATAAAAATATATAAAGATGATAACTTAACATATTACTCAAGAAGTAAATTCTGTGAATACTCAGCTGGTCGTTATACAATTTTTTTGTTTAATGATGAAAAACATTTTTACTAAATTACGAATGAAAACCTCTAACTTTGCAGTTTTAATTAAAATGTTGGTGATTCTGCAGAGGAATTTTTAAAAACTAAATCTTGACCTATCACCACATCTTGCCACATCTCTGATTATCTCCCCCAGGGCTAGCATGTCCCTTTAGATTAAGACATTAACAGTCACCACTCATGATGATAAAAAGTTGAACTTTCACCAGTTGCATCTCAGACAGTTGTAAGTTGAAGAGAGGGAAACTATTTTTTTGGAAGTACATTTTGCTCATTTCTATTTTTGGGAGTGGGAGAGAAATAGAGCCAAATGGTGAGCTGGACATTGTCATACATCCATTTACTGAAGCATAACTGAAGTGCTATTAAAACAAAGCACAAGTAAAATGGATGTTTCCCATCCCGTGACTCACACTGGCTTTTTTTAAAACAAAGCTTTTAGTGATGGTATCCATTTTCAGTTAACCCATACAACAAATTTAAACATTGAACAAAAAGAAACAAATGGTAAAACTCTTTTTTTAGTCTTTACTAATCAACTGACAGCAAGCATTTGTATCATTACCTGAAATATACTTTACTACTTTAGATTATCAATGAATATTAATATTTACATAATCTTTCAATACTACTTTGACCAAAATAATTGACCGGCACAGCTCTGCTTTCAATAAAGTAGCCCTACAGTAGTGCTGATGATACTTTTTTCAAAAAAAGGTTCTGGACCAAAAGATGTCTTCTCACAATTTTATTTGAGTTGAGTTATATTGCTATTTCCAATAATGCAGGAGGCTGTCAATCTTCATTGCATTATTACTTAACCATCTTGGTCCAATACACTTTCTGCTATTCAACAATTATCGGAAAAGGAAATGTGACAATTCCTGGGCTTCTATGTATGTGTCTGTAAGCTGCAATGTTAAGACATCCCTATAAAACAACATTAAAGGAAAATGAAAACTAAAGACATGAGCTAATAATAAGAATGACCAGCTAGTTAGTTACTGATTTTTGAAAGCTGCTCTTTGGCAATGTTGAAATGTTCATTGCTCGCTTTGTTCTTCAGTCTGTCCTTTTCCGTCTTCTTCTACTTTAACCTTCCGATATTCCTCAGCTTGCTTGTCCAAGATTTTCTTTTAAAATAAAGTTATTGTGGCAATTACCATGATGACTAGAACAAAAGGGTGCAGCATATTTTTAACACAATTGTGAACTGTAAATATTTTAATTCAGGCCAGAAAAGTATCAAACGGAAAGTATGTTGATTTCTCATTTAAAACAGATTTCTTAACTGATCAAATTAGATATGTCAAAAATGTAATTCCCATTCTTAGAATAGAATTCTTTCTCCTACTCTACTATGCACCACATTTAATTTAGTGGAGTAGGAGAAAGAATTCCATAATAAACAATGGGCACTCGGGGAGGGGCAGGAGGAAAGAATGATCATAGAATCAAAGTATTATACAGCACACAAGGAGGCCATTCGGCCCATCGTGTCTGTGCTGGCTCTTTGAAAAGAGCTATCCAATTCAACCCCACTCCCCCGCTCTCTCCCCATAGCCCTGCAAACTTGTCCTCCCCAAATATCTATCTACTTCTCTCTTAAAAGTTATTATCGAATCAGCTTCCACCACCCTTTCAGGCAATGCATTCCAGATCCAAACAACTCGCTGTGTAAAAAAATTTCTTCTCACCTCCCTTCTGTTTCTTTTAAGAACTATTTTAAATCGGTGTCCTCAGGTTACCGACCCACCCGCCAGTGGAAATAGTTTCTCCTTGTTCATCCCATCGAATCTCCTCATAATTTTGAAAAATTCTATTAAGTCTCCTCTTAACCTCCTCTGCTCCAAGCAGAATAATCCTCACTTCTCTAGCCTCTCCCGATAACTGAAGTCCCTCATTCCTGGTACCATCCTGGTAAATCTCATTTGCATCCTCTCCAAAGCCTTAATATCTTTCCTAAAGTGTGGTTCCCAGAACCAAACAGTCTCTAGCTGAGGCCTAACCAGTGTTTTATAAAGGTTCATCATAACTTCCTGACTTTTGTATTCTATGCCCCTATTTATAAAGCCTAGTATCCCGTATGGTTTTTTTTAACAGCTTTATCTGCCTGTCCTGCCACCTTCACATATTGGCTTATATGAACCCCCAGGTCTCTCTGTTCCTTCACCCCCTTTAGGATTCTACCATCAGCTTATATTGCCTCTCCTCATTCTTCCTCCCAAAAAGCATCATTTTGCATTTATCTATGTTAAAGCCACGTGTCTTCCCATTTTACCAGAATGTCTTTGTCCATTTGCAGTCTGCTACTATCCTCCTCACTGTTTACTATTTGTAGCTTAGTATCATTTGCAAACTTGGAGATTGTACTCCCTATACCCAAGTCCAGGTCATTTATATATCAAAAACAGCAGTGGTCCCAATACTGATCCCTGGGGGACACCACTGTACACTTCTCTCTGGTCAGAAAAACAACAGTTCACCACCACTCTCTGCTTTCTGTCTCCCAGCCAGTTCTGTGTCCATGCTGCCACTGTCCCTTAATACCGTGAGCTTCTATTTTGCTTTCAAGTCTCTTACGTGGCACTTTATCAAAAGTCTTTTGAAAATCCATATAAACTACATCAACTGCATTACCTTCACCAACCCTCTCCGTTACTTCATCAAAAAACTATCAGGTTGGTTAGACACAATTTGCCTTTAACAAATCCATGTTGGCTGTCCTTTATTAACCCGTATTTTTCTAAGTGAAAATTTATTTTGTCCCAGATTATAGTCTTTAGAAGTTTCCCTATTACTGACTGGCTGACTGGCCTGTATTTTCCAGGTTTATCTTTCTGCCCCTTTTTGTACAGGGGAATAATAACATGTGCATTTTTTCATTTCATCCAAACCACGGTCAAAGAGATATGGTATATGCCTTAAACTAGGGAAGGAGGGAGCGAGTCCGAGGGGCTCTGAGTTCCAAACACACGAGAAGCTCACCTTCAGCTTCTGGTAATGAGCCAGGCTGCTGCAATGGGTTTTCTTGGCCACTTCCTCCTTCGTATAGAAGAGACAGCACAATGTGCAGTAATACCCGGTCTTTGGAACTATATAATCAAGTCCTGCAACAAATAATTAACATAATATAAAAGTACAACCAAATTTAGCAACAACAATGCAACTAAAGTGTAGGTAATGAATAAAGTGGAACTTAACCTACAGGTAGCATTGTTTAGTCACAACATTAAGTTAAACATCTTCATGGAGGGAGAAAATTAAAGATTCTAATTTCTTCAACAATATTTTGATTAAGCACCACATAGATCCATAATTTCAAAAGACATATACTCAATAGCATATCACAATTCTCTGAACAGAGAACATAGGATAAGATTAATGTGAGGATGCTTGGAATAACCTTGTCCCAAAAGGGCACTCCTCAATCATTCAAGCTTCCAACTGCAAATAACTGGTGCCTGCCCTCCTCACTCCCCCACTGGAGAGTCTTGTCATTTGTTGTAAATAGATGCATCATTGACTGACTTTACTATATACATTCTGAAAAAGGAAATTATAACTCCCCTCAAAAACTGCTATAAACTGCTCCAAAACTGCACTAAATCGGGAGATAAACAACTATGCTATAATGCTAAAATAATAATGTGTGGCACGAACAATAACAGGATCTATTTAAATAACTGCAGCAAAACAAATTATACAACACATGCTCTAAAACCATGAATAAATGTATAACATTTGAAACTGAATAAACCTCAATGGGGTAGAAGCATAGAATAAGCATGTAATACAATTCTGCTTTCTATGGTGACAAATGAACATTCACCCTTTACCTATAGGGTTGTTGAGCTGATATGGGCCAAGTCTATATTCTTCTGGAGTAGGAGATCGAGACCGGGCACGCTTGGCTTCTGGTTCTGTGCAAGCTGAGACAAGCACTTCCTTAATGTCACTCTTTTCATCACAATCCACTTTTACTTCAATCTTTTCATTCACGGCAGGTTCTATGTCAGTTTCTTCAACATCGTCTTTAACTTTATCTGTTTGCTCCACTTTTTTGGCTTTTACAGCCTTTCCCTTCTTTCGACCACGTTTTCTTTTAGGCTTGTCCACATCTTCATCTTTCTGCTCACTGGCTTCATCTTTTTGCTCACCAGCCTCTGGTTTCTCGCTATCCACAGTTGTATCAGCCTCATCATTTGCCACTTTGCTATAGTCTCCACCAGACATCAGATCTTCCAGCTCTAAAATCCCAGCTTCTACATCACCGACCTCATCGACAGTAACAAATTCATCAATGTTCTCTGGGAAACATTCCTCTTTCGACTCCTACAGGGAACCAAACTGAAATTTTAAAGCTCTATTTCTCAAGATTCAAGTACATGTATATTGAATTGGACACAATTCAAACGGATGTGCCAATTCATAGCTTTGACAAACAAGGCTGACTATTACTGCTCTAAAATAATTGAGGTATTGGGTTATTGTTTAGCCAACAATGTAAGTGAGTCCTGTATCCTAATATTATTCATGACCTCCTTATTCTCATGATATAAAGGCTGTGATATACAATACATATTACCCACACAATGATTAATACTTTATTATATCTTACATTTTAAGTATTTCAAATTAATGCACAAGTTAACACAAATGGCTATGTGCTTTGTATGTGGAAAATAAATTTGAGCAACTGCACCTTGCTTAAAAAGTCAATTAAAAGTGCCTCAGCAATGATAAGAGCAGCAATAGATGTGATGTGTTTTTGGCACATGTCTAAACTCTTATAAGAAAGGTATGTTCTCCTAGACAGTTTCCCCATACACATTGAACTGATCAGATACATGAAGATCGAATGTTAGCTGAAGCTGGAATTGAAACTCAAAAACCACTTTAATGGAAGTGTAATACATCACTCTTACAGTCCACAGATACTCAGTGACAAATTTCTGTATTCCAAAGTATCTCAAGGTTGTTATTTTTTTTAACACTTCCACAAACAGCCAAAAATTCAAGAAGCCATTTATAATTACCTGGGATGTTGCTTCTTGGTGTCTTGTACTACTTTGAATATTCTGTACCTGCTTTTTTGTAATAAAATCAGATATTTTCATTTTATAGAAAAGAAAAGCTATTCCTCACTAAAAAAACACTCTGAATGAACGTATGAATGAGGAAGGAAGGCAGGAAAGATTAGGATGGGTGGAAGCTCAGGTGCAGTTTAAACACATTTCAGCCTAGCTGGGCATAATGGCCTGTTTTAGTGGTATAGATTCTATGTAATTCTATGCAAATGCTGAATAAATCTTGCAGAACCTCCATTACATCCCTTACAAGACAAATTAAATCCTGAAAACTTTGGCGATTCTTCTAAAATCACATTGCACAGAATCATAAGCAAATTAACCAAAAACTGAAATCTGCAGTACAAACCAAGTTTTGTCAGTCAAGGTTGGAGGAAATGGACATAAACACAATTTTTGAAAAACATCCCTTTCTTTCACCTTCTGAGACGTTTCCATTGTGCTTTCCACACGTGATGCCACATCAATCTTAGTTGTTGATTCTTTAGAGACTGTGTCAGTTCCCACTATATCCGGCTCCTCCTCCTTCTGCACCGTTTCACAGATAGCCTCGTCATTCTCAGATTCACCACTTTCCAGGCCTTCAACTAGATCTTCAACAAGCTCTGCATCACTTTCGATGACTGCAACAGCTTCCTCTTCTGTAGTTTCCTCTTTCTCCTCACATTTCTCTTCTGTTTCATTCTCTCCTTCAGTTTTGTCAAGCTCATTTGAAGGTGAATCTTCAGATGTTTTCTGCTCTGCCTTTTCACCATCAGCCTTTGGACAAGTCTTGGGCTTGCCGACTGGCTTTTTCTTAGAACTAGGGCTGCGGGATCGTCGTCTCTTCCTGAAAAGGTAAAATAGAAAATTGAGTGTGCAATAAATAAATGACAACATATTGTTTTGGTTGCTGTACATTTATTTTCATTGCTGAGAAGCTAGTTTATTTTATTCTTATAATAATAATACTTCCATTTGGTACAACCCCTTTCATTTCAGGAGGGTGCCTCAAAGCACTTCACAGAATATAATGTGAATATATCTGTATATTGTTCACTGTGTATTTTGTAGGCAAAAATGGAAGCTAATTTACTTATAACAATGCCTATTGTTATAGGTGAATAACCTATTTTATCTGGGGGATTGTTGGCCAGTACTCCTTTCTCTTTTCGAACAGAACCATGGGATCTTTTTAATGTCCATTTGAACAGGCAGATGGGAACCTCGGTTTACAGTCTCATCCAAAGGTCAACACCTCCAACAATGGGGCACTTCCCCAGCACTACACTGGAGTATTAGCCTAGAATGTGTGCTCAAAGTCCCGACTTAGAACTTGAATTCATAACTTTCTGACTCAAGAGGCGAAAATGCGACCAACACACCAGGCAGACACACCAAACCTTATCCACTTATCCTTAGAGAATACACACTTCACTTAAGATTGTGAATGCCACCATGCATTTAGTTCCACTTCCAGCAAGACAAGGTTGTAAGGAAAGTACCAACCAAAGTTCAATTAATAAATTAACTCTTGCTATGGAGTACCACGTGGTTTGAAAATGGCCCTTTTCAAAAAAATGTTGCCAAGTCTTACACATAACTTTAATGAGGGTAAAGCTGGGACACAAAATAGTTTTACAACAAGGCATTACATAGATCTTCCTTCACGTTAGACAAGCATAAAAAATACAACATCCACCTGTTGTCTAGATCATCCTGTTCTTTCAACAGCTCTTGAACTTTTATGCTTGGTTTCTGAAAAAAAAAAAGTGATAATTGAAATGACATGGATAAAGTTCAGTGTAACAATTAAATATTCCAAGGGACACTTTGCTTCCTGCAATGATTATTACATCCCTGGCTATAATCCATTTTTCTCATCTACTCAATTTTGGCTCATTTGCCTGCTTTAAGTCATGCTTCCTATTTGAGTCACACCAGGAAGCATCAAGATGCTCACTGTCAGTATAACCCAGCAGGAGAATGTCTCAATGCATTCAGGTTTCTTACAAATACTACTTCAAGAACGGTGGACCACATTGAACAAAAAATATCACCTGGACTTTCCTTCCTTTTTAGGATACAAGAATGGTACAAACATTTTTCTATTGTAAGAAAGATCTTCATGACATGACTACACAAACATTTTCTTATTATCTACTATTCTATTTCAATCATACGAATGATTAGGATAAATATCATTCAAACATTTGATCACAATATGAGACAATATTAGCAGATTTGTACATACCTTTAATACAAGTGTCTTGTATTTCTGAGATGCATCCACAGTCACTTTCCTACCTCGGAATATCAAAGGTGTTTTTTTGTAGTGTTTAACCATGTCCATCAGAGCTTTCTTTGACTCCATTTCGAGGAATGCCTGACAGTTGTAACATTGACAATAATCAAGGAAAATTCAATGATGGCACAATTTTTTTTTGCTTTAAATGTCGTAGGTGCAATTATTTTTCAAATTTTGCTTCCCACTGGCATACGTCTCTACCAGCTACTTTTGGTGTCCATGCGAGCCAAGTTAAATGTTCTTCACAAGGAGCAGTACCTGAATGTTTTTTTTGTGAACTTAATTACTTTTGTTACATATACACCATATTCAAGGTGAAACGAGAACAGGAATGTTACTTTTATAACCCAAAATAAGGCTACTGATCATCAAGTGCTATTGGGCGACCTCTCGATGTGAAAAGCCCTTTATAAAATGTGATTTGTATTGTACCTCAGAGCAAAAAAAATTTGCACTTTATTTCTACCCTCAGGATAAGTTGCCAGCACAATACTAAATTCATACATTGTAAGACAGACATTTGTAGTTTTTTCTCCTTTTCAAATTGAATAAAAATTCTTCCATAACAATACCTGGTTCCGAAGCCGCATGATTATGTAATTGAGAACTTTTCCAAATCCAGCTCCCATTTTCACAACATCAGCATCAGAATAACCAGAAGGAGGCAGGTTCTGGAAGAGTGCTACCCGGCCACCTGACCGATCTTGTTTTTGTTTCTGAGGAGATGCAAAGTACAACAAAAATTAGAGCAAGTTTCCGATTAACTGCTGAACCTTCCCCATAGATTGTTTCCCACGTACAGATTTTTTAATATTAAGGTTCACAACTCCTTAAGACAACCAGATACAAGTCCACCAATGGTGGAATGGAGGACACGAGGGACATGCAGAAGACTGGAGCCAGTCGAGTGGAGATAGCGGGTTGTGGGTAAGCAGGTCAGAGTGGTAGGGATGTGCCAGGCCATGAAGGGATTTGAAAACAAGTGTGAGGATCTTGAAATCGATCCCTTTGGCTATAACTAGAACTGGTGTGATGGGGGTACGGAGGTTAGTGCAGGTGAGTATGCTAGCAGCGGGGTTTTTGATCAGCTGGATCCTGTGCATGGCGGAGCTGGGGAGACCTGCAAAGAGGACGTTTGAAAAGTTGAGTCGGGAGGTGAGTAAAGCATGGATGAGTGTTTCAGCTGCGCCTGGGGTAAGGTACGGTCAGAGGCAGGCAATGTAGCGGAGGTGGAGGAAGGCGGTCCTGGTTAGGAAGGACAGCTGTAGTTCGAACCTGACGCCGAGATTGCGCACCAGTTCGGTGAGTTTGAGGGATAGGCCGGGCAGGTTGAAGGGATCAGAGATGCAGGATAGAATACTTTGATGGGAGCCAATGAGTATGGCTTCTTCTTGTCAACATTGAGTTGTAGGAAGTACTCGCTCATCCAGGCCCTGATGTCCGCCACACAAGCCGATAAACATTGGTGGATGTGCAGCTGGAGAAGTAGATTTGTGTATCATCTGCACACATGCGAATGTTTACCTCATGTCTGCGGATGACATCTCCAAGAGGGAGCTTATAGATGAGGAAGAAGAGGGGGCCCTGGAGTACACCACAAGTGACCAGCAGGGGTAGAAGGAGAAACCATTTGATGAGGTAAAGTGAAGGCGGTTTGTTAGGTAGGACTCAAACCAGGCTAGTGCAGTCCCACTGAGGTGGATGAGGGAAGGTGAGGCGGTGGATGAGGATGGTATAGTCGACTGTTCAGGAGAACAAGGAGGCAGAGGGAGCCCTGGTCACAGAGAGAGAGGACGTCGTTTATGACCGTGACAAGTCCCATCTCTGAGCTATGGGCAAGGCGGAAACCAGACTGGATGGAGAGGTGAGAGCAAAGCTGGTTAGCGACAACTCATTCCAGTGCTTTGACAAGGAAGGGCAGGTTGGAAATGCGACAGTAACTTGTGAGGTTGGAAGGGTCAAGGGCAGGATTTTTAAGGTGGGGAGTGATGACAGCGGTTTTCAACACCCGTCTAAAGACCCTCCTCTTCGACCATAGCTTCAGTTATCCTCCTTTCCCATCTGCCCTCCACGATCCTGACCCACAGCTCGGGTCCGAAACACTGATTGTCCAGCGCCTTGGGACATCCTCCTGACATGAAAGGGGCTATACAAATGTAATTTTGTTGTTGTTGTTTTAAGGGGGAGAGGAACGGAACCCGAGGAGAGCAACTGGTTGACTGTGTAGGGCAGCAGCGAGGAGGGGGGGGGGGGGGGGGGGAGTTGGGTGACTAGCAGCTGGGTGAAGAAGGGGTTGAGGCAGCAGCTGGTGGGCTTCATCTGGGAGATGGTGGTTGAGAGGGAAGTTGAAGTAATCGGGGCAAATGAGTGTAGGGAGGGGGAAGTGGTAGGGGCCATGGTGGAACGAGGGGTTGGTGTAAACGGTCTGTGGGGTGCGCAAGATGACGTGGGGGAGGAGGATGCTGCCAAGCAGATATTTTTGATCTTTGACACAAAGATGTCTAGGAACTCTTCACTCTTGGCGTTAGAAGTGAGGATGGAGGCAATGCGTGGAGGAGGTGATGGATGGTGCAGAACAGTGCGGTTGGGTTATATTTGGCATCCAAAATGGTTTTGGAGTAAAAGGCAATCTAGGCCTGTGAGAGTGAGAGGCGGGAGTTGTGGAGATCCTTGAGCCACAGCTGGCAGTGGATTGTGAGGCCAGATTTGTGCCATCTGCGCTCCAGAGTCCGGGTTTTAGTTTTGAGGGAGTGGAGGTGACTGTTATACCAGGGGAAGCAGATAGATTTGGAGCTAGACCTGGATTTCAGGGGCACAGAGGGAATTGAAGATTACAGAGAGGTGATTGTTCAGCAGCTTGATGGCTGCATCAGGACGCTGCATGTGGAAGTCCAGAGGGAGAAGAGATCTGAGGAAGAGAGGACAGGGCGTTTGTGAGGGACTCGGGTGGAAGCTTTTTCCAAGATCATAAAAAGATGGTGGAGGGAAATGAGGAAATGGTCTGAGGTTGACAGGTCAGAGATGTCAAGGTTGTGAGTGATAACGAGGTCCAGGGGATGGCCACCGTTGTGGGTTGGGGAGTTTATGTGTTTATGCCCATTATATTTACTGCTTATATTTGAAAACTGCAGCATAATAGGAAGAAACTCTAAAGCATTAACCAATTCATATTTAATATACATTCAACATCAGACCCCATACCTAGTTCTATTTTGGGCACTTCATTACATGTCTCAGATAATTTATGCACAAAGTATTTGCACTTGAAAACAACTGCAAAATTGTAAATACTGCCTTCACAATCAGCTCTAATAATTAGCAAAATGGTTTTATGGAATTCAGCTACAAACACGAAGGCGAATAAACTCCAAGTGGGTCTATATTTACTCTATTTTATTAGCATAAAAAATTGCAAACTGTTGAATTGAATTTTGTCTTTGAACCCAGCTTGCTATTGTGCTTAAGAAAATTTACAGAAAACCAGTTTGAAGATTAAGGAGATATTTAAGAATTTTTAAATGCTGATGCTTTGAAATGCTAAGAAAATATAGAGTAAATCTCAATCTATGTGGGATTTCTACCCAAAACATAATTTTCTCATCACTCTTCCAACAAATTGGTGAAGTGATTGGCTCAGTTTGCAGGCTTGGATAACAACTCTTTAACAAGCTGAAAGACTGTTAAAATCAGTACATGTTAACAAATGGGAAAACGCACTGAATATCAGTAGCACTCTGTAGGTTGAAGACTTGAAATTCTCTTAAATGAATGCTTTCCTTTTAGTTACCTTCAGATCAATCTCCTTGTATTTTTGAGACATATCCACTCGTACCCTTTTGCCATAAAGGATGGCTGGTTTCATACTGTAAAACGACACTGCTGTCTGTGCTTGGTCACTTGTGGCCATTTCTACAAATCCCTAGATTTTTTTGGGGGGGAAAAAACATTTTGAATCAATAAGCATACCATTATATAGAAGATATACTTGCTTCAAATATCCAAATCATGTGCTGGAACTGTTAAAAGCATTCAAACTGAATTACATCAGCAAAAGTGTGCAACTAACAGGTTCATTCAATGTTAATAATGATAAGAGTATACTCTCACCCCTCCCCACTCCATTCAACGTGAAAAAAACTCAGAGAGAGAAACTGAAACTCAAATTACAGTTCAAGTTTCTTCCCAAAAAGGAAGAAATTAGTGCTGGATCTTGTCATGGGGAATTAAGTGGGGCAAGTGGAGCAGGTTTCAGTGGGAGAGCATCTGAATAACAACGATCATATCATTAGGTTTAGAGTAGTTCTGGAAAGGGAGAGGGAACAATCAAAGGTGAAGATACTCAACTTTGATTGTAGAGCAGTTGTTTCTCTGGCTGGAGGGAAGTGTGCAGTGGTGTCTCCCAGGAGTCAGTATTAGGACCACTGCTCTTTTTAACCTGTATAAATGACCTGGACTTGGGTATAGGGAGTACAATTTCCAAGTTTGCAGATGATGCAAAGCTAGGAAAAGTAGCAAACAGTGAGGAGGATAGTAGCAGACTGCAAGAGGACATAGAAAGATTGGTAACATGGGCCGACACGTGGCAGATGAAGTTTAATGTGGAGAAATGCGAAGTGATGCATTTTGAGAGGAAGAATGGGGAGAGGCAATATAAGATGATGGTACAATCTTAGAGTGGGAGAAGGAACAGAGAAACCTGGGGGTTCCCATAAGCAAATCCTTGAAGGTGGCAGGAGAGGCAGATAAAGCAGTTAAAAAAGCATACAGAATACAAGGCTTTACAAATAGGAGCATAGAATACAAAAGTAAGGAGGTTATGATGAACCTTTATAAAACACTGGTTAGGCCTCAGCTAGAGTACTGTGTTCAGTTCCAAAAGAACAAGTGGGGAGGTGAGGAGAAATGTTTTCATACAGCGGATCTGGAATGCATTGCCTTAAAGGGTGGTGGAAGCCAACTTGATAACAACTTTCAAGAGAGAAGTTGATACATATTTGGGGAAGACAAATATGCAGAGCTATGGGGACAGAGCAGGCGATTGGGATTAATTTGGACAGCTCTTTCAAAGAGCCAGCATAGCCATGATAGGCTGAATGGCCTCCTTCGGTGCTGGATAATTCTATGATTCAACTGGAAAAGGGCTAATTTCAGTAAGTTGAAAAAATGGATCTGGCCCAAGTGGATTTGAAACAAAGATTGATGGGTTAAACAGTAACATTTGTGTAGCGCCTTTCACGTCGGGTGGACGTCCCGAAGTGCTGGACAATCAGTGTGGGAGGAGATTGTTAGGGTACAGACCAAACACATTCCCATGAGGGAGAAAAGTAGAGCATCCAAAGCTCGAGCTCCTTGGATGACTAAAGAAATTGGGAATAAAATGAAACAGAAAAAAGAGGCTTATGATAAATGTCAGGTTCAAAATACATTAGAGAATTAAGCGGAGTGCAGAGGAGAACTGAAAAAGGAAATAAGAGAGGCGAAGAGAGTCTTGAAGACGTGATAAAGTACTATATCAAATGCAAGGATTATTATTATTATCGTGAGAAAAGATTAGCAGGTAACATGAAAGGGAACACTAAAGTCTTCTATAAACACATAGAGTAAAAGGATGGCCAAAGGAAGGTAGGGTCAATTAGGGACGAAAAAGAAAAATTCATATGGAGGCAGAGTGCATAGCTGAGGTATAGAATAATGACTTTACACCTGTCTTCACAAAAGAGGATGCTGCCAATGTCACAGTAATGGAGGAGCAGGTAGAAAAATTGGATAGGATAAAAATAGAAGAGAGGAGATACTTAAAAGGTCGGCAGTGCTCAAAGTAGAAAAGTCACTCAGTCCAGATGGGATGCATCCTAGGTTGCTGAAGGAAGTTAGGGTGGAAATAGTGGAGGCTTTGGCCACAATCTTTCAACCCTCCTAGGATTTGGGAATAGTGCCTGAGCACTGGAGGATTGCAAATGTTACACCGCTGTCAAAAATGGGGAGAGGGATAAACCTGATAACTGCAGGCCAGTCAGCCTAACGTCGGTGGTAGAGAAATTTCTAGAGATCATAATCCAGGACAAAATTAATTTTCACTTAGAAAAACATAAGTTAATTAATGACAGTCAACACGTATTTGTTAAAGGCAAATTGTGTCTGACAAATTTAATTGAGTTCTTTGATGATATAACAGAGACGATTGATGAAGGTAGTGCAGTTGATGTAACGTATATGGACTTTCAGAAGGCGCTTGATAAGGTGCCAATTAATAGACTAGTTAGCAAAATTGAAGCCCGTGGGAAAAAAGGGACAGTGGCAGCATGGATACAAAATTGGCTGAGAGACAGAAAGCAGAGGGTAGTGGTGAATGGTTGTTTTTCAGACTGGAGGGAAATATACAGTGGTGTCCCCCAGGGTCGGTATTAGGTCTACTGCTCTTTTTGATATACATAAATAACTTGGACTTAGCTATACAGAACAAAACTTTAAAGTTTGCAGATGACGCAAAACTTGGGAACATAGTAAACAGTGAGGAATATGGTAGCAGACTGAACTAGGACATAGACAGACTGGTGAAATGGGCAGACACATGGTGGATGAAGTTTAATGCAGAAAAGTGTGAGGTGATGCATTCTGGGAGGAAGAATAAGGAAAGGTAATATATACTAAATGGTTTTGATGGGAGTAGATAGGGAGAAACTCTTTCCATTGGCAGGTGGGTCAGTTTTAAAAGGTGTACAGTAGCAGAGACCTGGGGTTCACATACACAGGTCTTTGAAGGTGGCAGGACAGGTTGATAAGAGTTGTTAAAAAAGCAAATAGGATCCTTGGCTTTATAAACAGAGGCATAGATACAAAAGCAAGGAAGTTCTGCTATCCCTTTATAAGTCACTGGTTAGGCCCCAGCTGGAGCATTGTGTTCAATTCTGGGCACCACACTTTAGGAAGGATATCAAGGCCTTGGAGAGGGTGCAGAGGAGATTTACCAGAATCGTACCAGGGATGAGAAACTTTAGTTATGTGGCGAGATTAGATAAACTGGGATTGTTCTCCTTAGAGCAGAGAAGGTTAAGGGGAGATTTATTAAAGGTGCTTAAAATTATGAGCTGTTTTGATAGAGTAGATAGGGAGAAACTGTTTCCATTGGCAGGGAATTAGATAGGTACTTGAAAAGGAAAATTTTGCAAGGATATGGGGAAAGAGCAGGCACAGGCACGGTGGGCGGAATGGCCTCCTTCTGTGCGGTAATATTCTCTGATTCTCTCACCTTTTGACACAGTGATCCCTTCTCTAGCTCCAAGCAACCTTATTTCTACTTATCACAACTCATCTAAAATCTGTCAAAATTCAACTCGCATGCAATGCAGTTGGTAAATTTGAAAGTCAGCCAGCATAACAAATCAATCTGCCTGTGCTGTAAAATGAAAACCTTAGCAACTCCTTCAACAAGTAATTTTCAAAAAAGATAAAATTTCTCTTCTTTACCTCACTCTTTGTGTTTAAAAGTAAGTACTTGGTAATGATTCCAAATGGCTGAGCCAGTTTGAGGATATCTCTCACTTTGCATTTTCCTTTTGGCAATTCAGTCATGTGAAGTACCCGGCCAGGATCATCTCCTGATTTCTAAAATGATGAAAAATAGCATAAAATTTCAACGGCAAATCAGTAACAAGGGAAACAATTTTTTCTTAAATGTTCATCCTCATTCAACTGATTAATCCAACGCAAGCCAAGGCAATTTTTTTAAAAAACAGATGATTTTTTAAATTCACCTACAAATACACAATTACTACACTTTAGAGTAAAATCTTCTGAAGTGCTTTGAGACATTTCAACAACATTATAAGGCACTATATCGAAAGCAGCAGCAAAATTTACACTCACCATGTTTCTTCGTTTGTTTTCTATAAAACCTTTTCTGTTGCCTGAAAAACAAAACATTTCAGTAAGGTCATCACAGCAGACAATTAACTCTGGGTACCTAGGACAAGTAATAAACTTCAATATTTACAGTTTCACATCCCTTTTGTCTCTATGCATTCCCAGTTCCTGCAAGAAGCCACTGAGTAAAAGGAACTGTAAAGCTCCAAATATTAGGCAGGTAAGAGAATTGTAGCCTTGACATTTCAGACACAAAACTGCAGCAATAGTGCTGCAAAAGATTAAAAATATATTAATTCTTAACCATAACAGATTATCAAGACATCACCGTGATACTCCTCTTATGAGTAATGGCATAGAGAGAAAAATAACTGCAGGAGTTCACAAACAAAAAACAGAATCAATTAAAAATTACTATCATGTAAATGTAATCCTGACCTCCATGACCATCCAATGCATCCAGTTGCCTGATGGCTGCAAGGAGGGCTGAGGCAGCATCTGGAGCAAGGTTAGACTGTCGTCCAGGTGGATTGTTCCTATTTTAAACCAAACAACAATTATTATAATTATATAGTTATGGTACAATCAATATACACGTTTACTAGCTCAGTAGCTCAGCACCACTCTTTCATTTACTATCATTCTCCAACGAGGTCATAAATCATGTATACACCAGGGAGGCCCCTTGTACCATTAACAAGAGGCAACTGGAATTTACATATCCAAACTCCAATCTTCTAAACAGAGCTTCATTTTATTAGAACCTTAGCACATTTAAACTGTCTTCACAGGATGGTTAAACCCGTGCAAAGTGCTTAACAAAATACCTGCAGCTCAAGCAGACCGGCAACAAATATGGCATGTCATTTTATTAATAAGCCACTCATGAAGTTCATAGAATCATACAGTACAGAAAGAGGCAATTCGGCTCATCGTGTCTGCGCCGGCTCCGAAAAGAGCAATCCAACTTAATCCCACTGTCCTGGTGCTATACAAATGTAATCTTGTTGTTGTTTCTTTTAACAACTAACTTAAATCGGTGTCCTCGGGTTACTGACCCACATGCCAGTGGAAACAGGTTTTTCCGGTTCAACCTATCAAATCCTCTCATGAGCTTGAAAACCTCTATTAAATCTTCTCTGCTCTAGGGAGAATAATACAAGTTTCGCTAACCTCTCCTCATAACTAAGGTCCTTCATTCCTGATACCATCCTGGTAAACCTCCTTTGCACCCTCTCCAATGCCCTAACATCTAAAGTGCGATGCCCAGAACTAAATGCAGTACTCCAACTGAGGCCTAACCAGCATTTTATAAATATTCAACATAACCTCCTGACTTTTGTATGCTATGCCCCTATTTATTAAACCTAGTATCCCGTATGCTTTTTTAATAGCTGTATCTACCTGTCCTGCCACCTTCAGAGATTTGCTTATGTGGACCCCCAGGTCTCTCTGTTCCTTCACCCCTTTATGATTGTACCATCAGCTTATACTGCCTCTCCTCATTCTTCCTACCAAAATGCAACACTTCACATTTCTCCACACTAAACCTCATCTATCACGTTTCTGCCCATTTTACCAATCTGTCTAAGTCCTCTTGGAGTCTGGTGCTATCCTCCTCACCATTAACTACTTTTCCTAGCTTAGTATCGTCTGCAAATTTGGAAATTGTGCTCCCTATATCCAGGTCCAGATCATTCATATAGATCAGAAAGAGCAGTTTCTGAGGGACACCACTACACACCTCCCTCCAGTCAGAAAAGCAATCGTTTACTACCACTCTCTGCTTTCTGTCTCCAGTTCTGGATCTATCTATCACAGTCCCTTTAATATCGTGGGCTTCTATTTTGTTTATAAGTCTCTTTGTCAAATGTCTTTTGAAAATCTAGATAAACTAAGTCTACTGCACTACCTTCATCCACCCTCTCAGTCACTTCATCAAAAAATTCTATTAGGTTTGTCAGACACGATCTGGCTTTAACAAATCCGTGTTGATTGTCCTTTATTAAACCATATTTTTCTAAATGAGAATTTATATTGTCCCGGATTATAGTCTCCAGAAGTTTCCCTACTACTGATGTTGGGCTGATTGTCCTGTAGTTCTCAGATTTATCTTTCTGCCCCTTTTTGTACAGAGGAATAACATTTGCAACCTTCCAGTCCTCTGGCACCACTCCAGTGTCCAAAGAGGATTGAAAAATTGTGGCCAAAGACTCCACTATTTCCACCCTTGCTTCCCTCAGTAACCTAGGATGCATCCTGTCTGGACCAGGTGACTTATCTATGTTGAGCACCAACAGCCTTTTTAGTACCTCCTCTCCGTTGATTTTTATCATATCCAATTTCTGTTCACACACTTGCGATATTGTGGCATTGGTTTCATCGTCTTCTTTTGTGAAGATTGTTGCAAAGTGCTTATTTAGTACATCAGCCTCCTCTGCCTCAACAAGAAGATTTCCACTTGGGTCCCTAATTGGACCCACCCTACCTTTGACTAACCTTTTCCTCTTGATATGTTATAAAATACCTTAGGGTTCCCTTTTATGTTTCCTGCTAATCTTTTCTCGTACAATCTGTTTGCCCTTCTTATTTCCCTTTTCACTTCTCCTCCTATATTCTATTTGATTATCTTGTGTGTTTTGGACCTGACATTTGTCATAAGCCTCCTTTTTCTGTTTTATTTTAATCCCAATTTCCTTAGTCATCCAGGGAGGTTTGACTGTCCTCCCTTTCCCCTTTATCACCAGGGGATGGGATTGAGAAGGAAATGGGAAAAAGGACCCAACAGGAAGGTTCATACTGGGACTCATACCAGACTCCAATACTTTTGTAGCAATTCCTATGAGCAGAACTGCTTTGAAGCACAAGGCACCAGGTATGTTACACGCAAACTCAAACTTCACAAACTGCTATTAGCATATGGACCATACCTTGGAGGTGGCACATCTTCAGGAACCCATTGTGGGTAACTAGAAACAACCAAAAACAATCTTTAATCATAACAATCACCTTCATCAATTCTTGGCATCAAAGAAGCAGTAAATTGGGACAATACACATTAAACAAAGGGTATTCTTCCCAAGCACAACATGTTTAAACCATTTACACTGTGATGCCTTGTTATAACACAGTAAATGCATGCGATCCATAATATCCAAACAGTACGATGAGTTGCGATTACACTGAAGGCACATAGCCTCTCAGCTCATTTCCCTCATGCCAGCGGGTCAGATGGAGGTAAAGCGCAAGGTTGGAGATGAAAGAGAGAAAAAAAAGAGATTCAGAGACGCAGTGAGAAATGAGAATAGGCAGAGTGTGTGAGAGCAACAGAGATAGCAGTAGCGATAGTCATATGCAAAAGTCGGAATAAGTGACACAGAGAAAGAGTGGCATTGTGGTATTGTAATCATCATATAACTACTGGTGGAAGAAGTTTTGGTTCAAACTGTAATTGAATTTTGTGTGATGTCCTCATTCTGGAGTAATATAAAATAAAATTAAAATGAATAAAATAATATTAGTAATAATAAAATTGGTCACTTCAATCCACTACTGTTTGTGGGACATTGCTGTGCGCAATTGGCTGCCGCGTTTCTTCCACAAATATGCAGTCAATTCACTTTACAGTATATTCTGTGAAGCGCTTTGAGACATCTAGAAGATGTGAAAAGCCCTATATCAAATGCAAGATTATTATTATTAATATATCATATCTATGATGGGGACAGTCCCAATTCTTCAAAATTGTTGTTTGAACAAAGGTAAACCAAGTTGACCTAACCCACAAATTAAGACTCAATGTTGCGGTTCATGCAAACCTCACATGTCGAACCATAGATGTTGAACCAAATCTTTTTCGAAATACACTTCAATAATATCACATATGAACGAATCTACTGAAAACTATTTAATTTTTTGATGGTAAATCAAGATAAATTGCATACATTTCCAGAAGTAGCAGGCACCGTCGCTTGTGTGCTGGCTCATTCTTATGCTGGTGCCAATCCTGCATTGGGGGGGGGGGGGGGGGGGGAGGGGTGAATCACAAAAGCCATTAACAAATGTGTGAAGCTAAGTTTTCTGCAATCATGTGAAACCATAAATGTAGCACATTACTGCTTTATGAAGCAGAAAGATGTGAAAATACAGCATCAATTAGATACATGGAAAATGGATACAGCAATGGATACAAAAACAGCAAATCTTATCCAATTTACAAATGAGCATTTTAATAATTACAGTAATAAATATTAATTACCTACCATAGGCATAGGAAGCAATTCTTCTAACATAGTAGTCTTCACTCTTCCAATTAAGCTTTCCCAATATAATGAGTATTTACTCATGCCAATACAACATATAAACTGAACTTTCTTTTTAGACATTTGGCTCTTTAAGAGTTCATCACACAATCTCATTAAGTGACTCTCCACATCCTAAAAGTACTTCAATCCCAACCAACTCTTCAGTTATTTTCTTCCATTATGCATCTAACAAATCTATATTAATAAAGACGAAATGTCTGTCTGTGTGTGTGTGTGTCTGTCCACGAAGAACGCAATAACTGATTGACGTAGAGACATGATTTATACTTCATCGGAAAGGTCTTGCATGGGGGAGCGTCATGGGCATTGTTTTTCGGAGATCTTCTATCGTTAATGAAGTATATTACAAAATATATTTAAAAATGCTTTAAAAGGTATGCATGGTATTAGAGATACTCTTCTAGAGAGATACATCTATACTAATAAAGACAAAATGTCTGTCGGTGTATCTGTCTAACCGATTGACGTAGAGACATCAACAGGAGTCCTCCCACTGACTCCTCCCGACAGGAGTCCTCCCGACAGGATATGTGTCTATCTGTCTATCCGCCAAGAACGCAATAACCCTGTGACATAAGGACATGATTTATACCTTATTTGAAAGGCCCTGTATGGGGGAGCGTCATGGGCTTATTTTTTTTCGGAATCTCCTATAGTTGAGCTATATTAAAAAAAACAAAATATGAGGCACTAGCTGTACCTGATGCATGGTATTCTGCAAAAAAGTAGCGAGAGAGGAAATCACACATCCTTCTAGAGAGATTCATCAGGAGAGTGACAGAGAGGAAAGGAGGGAAGTGGTGAAAAAAAATTCAATACTACATTTTTAATATTAAATCTCTCCCCCCACCCATAAAAAACCACGCTGAGTCCCATAATCTCTCGAGGGACAGAGTGAGGAGGTGAGAGAGGGTTTTTGGGGGGAGGGAGGGGGGAGCGCGGAAAGGTTATATGAGTGTGTGAGTGAGTGAGGGAGTGAGCGAGTGAGTGAGTGTACCAGGAGGGAGGGGAGAGGATTAAAGTAAAGCCTTAGGCTTGCTCAGACTGACTGAGCCGAGAGAGAGAGATCCCAGTACAGCTCACAAACTGCATGTGTGTCTACCCACCAATAACCCAATAACCGATTGATGTCGAGACATGATTTATACCTCATCGGAAAGGTCCTGCATGGGGGAGTGTCATGACCATATTTTGGGGGGAATCTGCTATCGTTGATGAACTATGACCTAAACAAGCTCATCACACATATATGGCAGTTTTGATTAAGGTGTACACACAGTGATTATGGCATGTTAAATGGTTTGTGAGTGGTATCACTGAAATCTACATTCTATATTGGATCCTTTGGTTGCAAGCATAGATGCAATGGGTACAGCTAGTAATTAATAAATGAACAGCATTGACTATTATCAGTAACATACTGGGCAAATATTTTAATTTTAGAATATTTATTTTTGGTAAATCATTTTTGCTTGAAGTTTGATTTGGAAACACAGAACTCCGCTATCTCAAACTGGACTATGATCTAAGAGTAACACTTGTGAATGTGTTATGTGAATAATAACAAATTTTGCGCTTTGCATAATAAGTCAACTTTGTAGGAAGCAAAATTTGGGAAGTGAAAGGGTAAGAAAGAGAGGATTGTTATATTAAAAAATCAGCCTGGCTAAAAACAGTGAATCATCAATGGTAGCCAAATCCAAATAGTAGTCATTCAGCAATATAGATTACTGCATTTGGGCACTGCAATAGGATTCTCAAAGTAATGAAAACTTAAAACTAATCCACACCCAGGTATTGTTCATGACAGACGGCCTTTAACAGTTTCTATTCAACTGTTCTGCTCAGTCGGAATTTTCCATCATATCTTAAGCAGAAACTTGAAATCAGTGCTCCTCCAGTTAATACTCTTCAGTCTTTCCTCATTACAAATTCACTATGGCAGATTTTTGTACTGGGCAATTCTGGAAAACTAACACAATTTCCTCCACTCACAAACTGTGAAGGATTAATATTCTATTTGTACTATGAGAATTTGCTGCTGTCCAGGGCAGACCACTCAGCAGAAGTTGTCAAGAGGCCCCTTTTTAATTTTAAAATCAGAGAAAGATGTAATCTGAGTAAAATATACCCATTTTAAAAAACACATTCAAGTGTCTTCTTTAAGGGGATAGACACTCTCAAAAATGAGCTCTGCTAATTTCTGGCATTTGAAGCAAAGGCTCCTTCATTTTCTGCTACAACAGAGATCTGTGTGTGAATATAACCCTCTGTAGAGTACAAGACCATTACCTGCTTCAACAACAACAAATTACATTTTGTATAGCGTCTTGCACATCAGGAGGATGTCTGCAGCTTAGGATATCCACAAGTTTCCCCTCTTCAAACTAGATGTGCTTTTATGACCTTCCCCTTAAAATGGTCAGTTTTGCAGAGAGCTACAAAAATGCTTTTGAGTACCAGCTCCAAATCTTTTGCATATCATTTCATACTTTTTTCCCCACCACTATTTTTTACTTAAACTGGACATAAATTTGTTTTTTTATTAGGACCGAAATGTAAGCACTATTGATTCAAGTATTTTTCCTTTTACCCTCCTCATACATTGTTCCCATCGTCAGTTATACCCAGCCCCTGGTGATCTTTCCTCTCACTAATATTCAACACATTTCACTTTATTTTCCTCAATACTGCATATCATTTACTTTAATATATTCCTGTCTTTTAAACATTGTTGGCACCCCAATGATTTTTCTAATAGCATGCAATTTGTTTCTACTCATTAGTGCTACCCAAGGTTTACAAGTTTTAAACGAATCAGCTATATTTTACTGAGTTTATTCATAAATGTAAACCTTCTATCAATCTGACCTTTTATAAAATTGCAAAGCTGATTTGTTCAAGCAATGTCTCTAGTGCAAAACATGTTTTGCAGTCACAATTGGGTCATCTGCAGAATGTACCCCACTGAAACAATCTTATTGTTGTCTATAATGGGACTCATTATAGTGGTGTTATCTATATCAGATTAATTGTAGTGGTGCTGAAAGAAGTAGAACTAACCAAATAGCTTCCCAGATTAACTCAACCCAAGTAGATAATGAAAGAAGCTGGCACAACAAGATAACTTTCTGAATACTGATTTCATTCCACTCACTGAGAAACACGAGTATTTGCACCATCTATCAGGGTTGAATCAGGGTTGAATGTTTGGAATCAGCAAACTGTTGGGATGAAAATTTAGCTCTTCCTGATTTAAACTGGAAGACATTTTGCACAGTGACATTTTTAAAACTTTGTTGTGAACCCTACTTTACACTTACAACAACAACAAAATTACATTTGTATAGTGCCTTTCACATCGGGAGGACGTCCCAAGGCGCTGGACAGACAAAGTTATGGACCCGAGCTGGAGTTCAGGGTGGGGGATGGGGGAGGGCAGGGGGGGGGAAGCAGGGAGATCGAAAGCACGGTCGAAGAGGAAGGTCTTGAGGTGGCCTCGAGGGTGGCGAGGTGGTGGGACTGCGGGATGGAGTTCCAGAGGGCGGGTGCAGAGTGGCGGAGGGCCCGAGCAAGACAGGCCGGAGCTCGCTGAGCGGAGGGAGCGAACAGGGTGGTAGTTGGGAGTGAGATCGTGGAGGGCTTTGAGGCTGCGGACCAGGATCTTGAACTGTATCATCTGTGTGATGGGCAGCCAGTGGAGTTGGGCAAGGATGGGGGTGATAGAGTTGCGAAGCCTAGTGCGGGAGAGGACATGGGCTGCAGAGTTCTGGATGATCTGCAGCCTGTGGAGGGAGGAGTTGGGGAGGCCGACAAGCAGTGAGTTTGCATAGTCGAGCCTCGATGTAATGAAGGCGTGTACGAGGGTTTTGACGCCCTGGGGTGTGAGACAGTTGCTGAGCCTGGCGACGTTGCGGAGGTGGGGGAAGGCAGAGCGAGTCATGGCACAGATATGGGGTAGAAAGGATAGTTGAGGGTCAAATAAGACCCCAAGGTTCTGGATTGGCTTAGCAAGATGAAGTGTGCAACCATGGATGGTGATGCTGTCAGCGTCTGAGGTGAGGAGGCGCTTACGGGAGCCAATCAGGGGAGCCTCGGTCTGGTTGACGTTCAACTGAAGAAAGTTAACTCTCATCCAGGACTTGATGTCAACACAGCAGTGGTCCTAGAGTCAAGGGTGGAGGCACAGAGGTAGAGTTGGGTGTCATGTTAAAGTTGATCCCATGTCTGCGGATGATGTCACCAAGAGGGAGCAAATAGATATTGAAGAGAGGGGGACAGCCCTGAGGAACGCCACACGAGATGGTCCGGGGGCTAGAGGAGAAGCCGTTTGAGGAGATGAAGAGCAGGCGGTGTGAGAGGTACGATCTGAACCAATCAAGGACAGCACTGTGGAAGTTGAGGTGAGAGGAAAGGCAGTGGATGAGGATAGCGTGGTCGATGGGGTCGAAAGCAGCAGAGAGGTCAAGGAGGATGAGGTGGCAGAGGGAGCCCTGGTTGCAGATGGGCAGAATGTCATTTGTCACTTTGACCAGGGCAATTTCTGTGCTATAGGCGGCACAGAATCTCAATTGAAGGGGTTTGAGAAGAGAGTGGCGGGAGAGGAAGGAGCGAAGCTGAGATGCAACAACTCGTTCCAGGAACTTGGAGAGGAAGGGGAAGTTGGAGATGGGGCGGTAGTTAGGGAGTAGAGAAGGGTCCAGGGAGGGTTTTTTAAGGATAGCAGTGATGACAGAGGTTTTTAAAGGGGTGGGAACAGCACCAAAGGACAAGGAGAGGTTAACAATGTCAGTGAGTAGAGGGGCAAGGAGGTGGAGCTGCGAGGTAAGGAGAGGGGGGGGTAGGGATGGGGTCGAGGAAGCAGGTGGTGAGTTTCATACGAGTTATGATGGTGATGAGAGAGGAGGGGGAGACAGGTTCAAAGGTGTGGAGGGAGAGAAGGATAGGGGCCAGAGTGGGAGGAGGAGATGGGGACGGGGTAGCAGTAGCAGAGGCAACTGAGCGAATCCCTCGACTTTGGATTCGAGGAAGTCCAGCATCGCCTCACAGAGGCATTTGAGGTGAGGATGGGTGAGGCGTGAGAGGGTGGGCAGAGGGTTTAGTTCATGATGGAGAAGAGGAGTCTGGGATGGTCCTTACCCTCCAAGATTGTCTTGGGAGTAGAATGACGATTTAGCGGAGGCGAGGGCGGAGCAGTAGGATTTGACATAGTCCAGCCAAATCTGCCGATGGACAGTTAGGTTTGATTTAAGCCAGGTGCGCTCAGCGGAACGCGCCTGGGCTTTAAGGGAGCGGAGGTGGCTTACATTCATAACTGACCTAAAATTTGACCTTTCAAATCAAGTACCATTAGAAAAGAGAAACTTTTGTGATCCTTCAGATAGTGGTGTTAAAGTTCAGATTTAAAAAAACAAGTATCTAATGATTTTATGTTGTATAATCACCTTGATGATAGAACAATATTTTGTGATTTTTCAAATCACATGTTGTCCAGTGCCTTGTGACATCCTCCCGACATGAAAGGCACTGTACAAATGTAATTTGTTTTTGTTGTTGTACAGTTCATGTAGAATATGTAGAAAGCACAGTCTTCAAGTACTATGCTACCGGTCATCAAAATTATAAAGATGTTTGCATTGTTCTATTAATGTGCTCAATTTAATTTAAATTATAGACCAAAAATAGTCCACAGGCATGTCATTCCAAATGATAGCTTTGCACTTCAATGTGAGCTGCATTCAAGTGTACCAATGTACATGCCCTCCCCACATGAAGGGCACTATCTAGATGCAAGTTGTTGTTGTATGTTAACAGGCATACACAAAGGAATGACGCACTAGTAGCACTGTAAACTTCAAGGGCGGCCTTGAATCAAAAGCCTTCCCACGTGATCAATCGCCATGTAGTACCTCTTAGGAATTTAATTTGGACTTTTTATTTCTCCTCTTCCTATTTAAGTTTGAATCCATGAACACACTCCTGAGTAACATGCGAGGTACTTTTCTTTTTGCAGAAAGAAGTTTTCTGACATGCATTGGTACCAATGTATCACTTGGTAACAAAATTGGGATTTAATTCTGTATGTATACCTTAATAATGGGAATATCTGCACTGGATATAGTGAAGAACTGTATGCTCAAATGTCACAAACACTGAAGCACATAAAGTGAACAAGTCTTGAAGACGTCATTAATAGTTTCCCACTGCACCTGACCTTGATATCAGCGTCATCCCAGATATGGCTTCTTGGGGTGGGAAGAGAAAGTATGGGTTAACGGTAATATTCCCCTCACAGCTGTCCAAAGAACTGAATGTATCTTTCACCTGACCATGCAAATTAAAACTCATCAGTGTCCTATGAAGTCAATGCTTTGGAATTGTTCCAAAGTGTTGGCTGTTGGTATTATTAAGAGTTTAACCTAGCCTTTTAAAAACACTAGGACAGTAAGTTTAACAGGAGCTAGTCCTTTTGATCTTTCACATTTGTTCCATGCGAGTATATTCAGGCAGATGCACTGACTCCAATAAGACTGGCTGTTTATTGAAGGCATTTCTTCCCATGCCGGAGGAAATGAGGAAAGAAAAATCAATAGAATGACATTAAGCATTTTGCAACTATGGCAAAGCCACAAGGTTAATGCTTTAATCATTCATTCTTTGATCAGATTTTTCAACTTCTGCTTCTTTGTCTTTTCCGAAAAGAAATAAGATTTGCCATGAAGTCATGGAAGATACCAGTAATGACTGATAACAAGCAAGACTGTTGCTTCAACAAACAAAGTTTAAACCTGAAACTTTGTGCACGTTTGACTTTATCAAAAATCAACCAGTTACTCAATCGTATTAATAATAATACTCAAAAGTCTGTACCAAACTTGTGAATAAAATAGAAAACGTAATGGGACCAAGAAACATAATGCATTGCACCAACAATAACTGAAAAGCTAAGGCATTAGGATGCTACAAAGGCCATTGGAAGGGAAGTCAACTAATGGGATAACAGCTTTGTCTGTTCAAAAGAAAGGCCCAAAATGTACTGTATGGGCAACAACCTGCACCTTGTAAACATCTGTGCTTCTATGATATATGATGGGGTCAGATGAAGAATTGTTCATGTACTTAACATTTGTAGCATGGCCAAATTTAATTCACCTAGGCCAAGTGATTATTTCTAGTGCTATCTACCTTTAGGTGAAGCTGGACTTTTCAGAAACATTTCTACAATACCCTTCTACAAATGGTAAAAGTGTGCTAACATTAAAGCTACGTGGCTGTGCCAACTGACACAATACTTCTATACCTACATGATGTTCTACTTACCAAATACAGTACCTATTTACACATGAACTCGCAACAAAGTGTTCTGTCTAAAGAAAACAAGTTTCTTCAACAGTAACATGAACCAAAATTATTTAATTCTCAGCTAATAAACTGCTTGTTTGATGACAGTCAGTTAACCAAATCAAATGTGTGCACAGTACCGTAACATTTGTGGCGACAAAACCCTTTGTATGTGGGAATTCAATTATCAAAACCACACTTTTAAAAAAATATATAGTAATGGGCAATAACATTATGGAGTAAGTCAGACTCCATTCACCTGTAAATACGAATCCCAAGCATAAGTTGACAATCTGCTGCCAAACAAACTATAAGGTGGATTGATGGATATTCAGTTCAAAAATCATCGTTGAGACTTCAACAAGGTATAGATCTGAACTTGAAAATTATATATTTTTTACATTTCTCCCTTTGTATCCTTAAAGTTTCACCCTATAGTTGACATGATGTGAATAGGAAGATATTAAATTTTACCTGCTTTTTTCCATAGTTTGGAAAGAGAACAAAACATATTGACTATTGATAGGAAATGGACAATACATTGTACCCTCAAGTTCTTGGGAGCCAAGCATTTGATATGCTACTGCAAAGTACACTATGTACTGATGTTCCAGAAAAGTCAAAGCTGGTTTTGAAACTAACTAAATTAAGTAGTATGGGTGTGGGTAAAAAGGTAATTTCTGGTGATGCTGTAACTGTCAAGTGCACGCAGACATTTCTCTCTTCTTTTAACCAATAAGCAATGTTAATGGGTTACAAAGTACTGCACACCCTTTTGATTTCACTTAGCCACAAATGTTTAATCATTTGCACCAGCAATCTGTTCAATTGTAAATGCCAACTGCTTTTCAATGAACCTAAAATGGGTGCCAGTTGTCAATATACTGGCAACAAAAAGATCTTGTGCACTGTATCAGGCTGCTAAGACGTTCCAAAGATATCGGAACAAATTAAAACCCAAATGAGGTCTCCCCAAGTCCAACAATAGCTGTTGATTGGAAGAATTACAAAGCAATTTTGAAATTAGAGGTCACTCACCTTCACAGAATGAACTGTTACATCACACAGCGAACACAAGTGGGGGAACATTGATGGCATGAAACCATGGTAATCGTTTATGTTGCTCAGTGAAGGAGATCCTCGTTTTCTCTCAAAGAGGGACCTTTCTTGTCCACGAGGAGAGGGACCCATTTTTCCATAATCAGAATCAAATTTATATGGCTCAGACATACGCATCTCATCTCTACGAAAGTCATCATTTCTTAATCGTTCATGCTCATAGTCCTTCCTGTCATAATATCTAGAATTCGACTCTCGAGAAGAACCATGGTCATAGTTGACCACTGGGTCAGCATCAGAATCTCGACCATCAAAATTACTCCGAAAGCGTCTTTCGTCCTCCCAATCACCACGGGAGGGCCTAAAGGAACGATCTTCCCGAGGAGAATTCTCACCTCTGCTGTAATTCAAAGATGGTCCTTCATCAGTTCTTTTCCTTTTAAGCTGCATAAGAATATCAGGCAAGGATTCAGGTGTAAGTTTTTCCTCAGGATAGCGGCTCAATTCATCCAAATCTCTGGATGAAAGGCCAAAGGTAGCTAATATATTGCTGGCCCTGTCCGCATCAATCCGTTTCTGAGTGGCAAGTGAGGGCTGGTTACGACTTCCTACATCAAACAAAGAAGGCAAACCACTGGATCGAGAGGGACCACCACCTGAAGACATCATATTTTGAGGTCCTTGTCCCACACCTTGTAGGCCCATTCCCTGACCCCGTCCAAAGTTCATAAAGCCACCCATACGTGCACCCTGGTTCATTCTCCCAAGATTTCCAGCAACGTTTGCAGACTGGGCTGCAGCAAAGAATCCAACATTATGATTGTCTTTTTTGATGCCACGACCTTGATCCTGCTGGGCCCTACCCAACGACATTGTAGCGCAAGAGAGAGAGTGTAGTTCAAAACTGGTAAGAGTAGAATAAAAATTCTTCAGTGGTTACCAGAAAACCTTTGCTGTCTGTAGAAAGTTGTTTCACTATCTAACTTCCTCTAACAGATGGCTGATGCGAGTAATGACACAGATTCCTCAGAGAACTTTGCCAGGCTGAAAAGTTAAAACAAAAATGTTAGGTCAAGGATCTCAAGGCCTCTAAAAGGACCATGCTTCAAGATCTGTCTTCAAAGTTGCAAAGCTGGTCTGTAGAAAGACAGTTTAAACAAGATCCAATGCAACATTTCAGAGTTGCATGCAAAGTCCGAGGGGTCATTTGTCAACATTATAAAAACCTCTTAATGAGAAGCGATAGGAATCTCAAAAAGTGTGTCAATAGGAAAATAGGAAGATCAAAAATGGTAACTGTCACCAAATTGTTTCAAGTAATCGAAAGATTTCCAACGTAGGGGTTATATCTGTCTTTAATAAAATTTATTGTATATGCAACATTTCAAAAATATATCTTTTATGTAAATCATTTAAGGCATTGCAATCATCGCTGGCAAGGGAAGCAATAATTGGACTGGATATATTGAAAGTCACTGAATAAGAGCATTTGTGTATTACAATAGTCACTTCTGACTTTTCATAAAATATGCAATTTGGAAGTTTATGAGGGATTTAATGACTAATCCAGCCAAGGATATTGCTCATGAACATATTTTATAAGCAAGTCAGCAAGTTAAATTAAATGAACCCCAAAAAGGATTGCATAGAACTCAAGGGCTACACAGTAAGCTGCAAACTTTAAACTGGCAAGCAAAGAATATCAGCAAACGCTGAAATGTAACTGTGTATCCAACTCAAATCAAAATGGTTGTTGGATAGTTGCAAATATGGCATCGTAGATGGACAGGGCATCAGATATTGCTTTAGTGTCCAATTGTTTGCTTAGTGTGTGTTCCACCATGAATTTATCAGTGGACGTTACAAACAGGAATATATAATCTAAATGTTACCCATTGCAGATAATAATAATCCTTGCATTTGATATAGCGCCTTATCACCTCTTCGAGACGTCTCAATGCGCTTCACTGAAAATACTGTAAAATGAATTGACTGTATATTTTGTGGTCGAAAAGTGGCAGCCAATTGCGCACAGCAGTGTCCCACAAACAGTCATGGATTGAGTGACCAATTTATTATTTTTTTTGAAGGATTACTCCCAGAAAAGCGATCTGCCAATCGACTAACAAGTGGGTTCCTACTTACTACTAGGTAAGCAGAGGTGTCTGGAGTAAGGAAACTTGCCGAACTCGCCCTGCCAGGAATCGAACCCAGGACTCTTGTTTGTGAGGCGAATGCTCCAACCACTACAGGACTCCACAGTCCAACAGATGTCCAATATCAAAATCTTACCTCCTCTAGAGAACTTCATACCCTGATTAATTGCTCAAGAGCAAACCACATATTCTATCTTGGTCTATGCTCTTAAGCTCCAAAGCATATATACCAAAAGTAAGATGGTTGATCGAGCAATGAGAAATAACCAGCAGTCAGCATCATTCTGAACCATTGCAGGAATGACAGAGGTTAAGAACCCAAATACCATCATGTTAGAAATATGGTCAAAACGCAAAATACTACAGATGCTGGAAATCTGAAACAAAAACAGAAGTCACTGGGAACACTCAGCAGGTCAGGCAGCATCTATGGAGAAAGAAAAGTGAGTCAATGTTTCAGAACCACAACCCTTCATCAGAACGTCTGATGAAGGGTCATGAACCTGAAACGCAGACTCACTTTCTTTTCTTCAAAGATGCTGCCTGACCTGCTGAGTATTCTCAGAAATATGGTAGCCTATTTCGAGTATTCTCCATCAGAATATGATGTAATCTTTACTGCAGGATTGGAATTTTTGTAAGAAAACACAACATTCCTGGATTTGGAATACTTGATATATGGTGATCAAATTTTTTAAAAAAATATTTCAGGAATTTTATTCAAGGATTTTATACTTTATCTTCCACGGAAAGATATACAACAAACATTAGTTGTTTAGATTTCTGGAATAGGATCCTACTTCCAAAGCATAGCAGCAGAAGACAGAGGAATCTTGTTGTAAGTAGAATATCAAAATGGGCAAAAATGGCTGTGGATAAGATTGCCTGATTAATACCGGCAAAATCACCAGCAATCCGGGACAAAAGCAGAATTTGATCATTTGCCCAGGAAACCAAAGAAACAGTTGTAGAACACCTCTTTATCAGTCACCTGACCAATGCAGGAATGCAACTTACAGATATTTAGCAAAGGGAAACTATGAAGAATAAACTGTAGGATTGTTAATTCTTAGTAACCCCGAACAAAAAAAACTTTTTTTAAAAAAAAAGCTGCATACCACAATGTACATTAAAATATATAATTTGCCTAGAATTACCCTTCCTGCTGAAATTCTGTTCTAGATTTTTTGCAGTTGATATACTATTTATTTCACAATTATATGCCCAGAAGCTATTTGCATCAATGCTCTGATAGGGAGGCGGGCGAGGGGGGGGTCAGAGTACTATGATTACTGTAATCATATGTTTCTTGTATCATAGTTTTAAGAATTTTTCTGGGAAAAGGTAACAGAACTACTTTAATTGTAAAATATTTTACCCTTCAACGCATGCTTACTGAAAGTGTTTGGCATTTATCCTCCTACCTCTTAGGATACATTACAAATTCATCACTGCGTTGGTTGTACCTACTGGAAACTTTCAAATCTCTTACCTGAAAATAAGCCACTCAAATATGGTTCATAGAATTGTAAACAAGCACTGTGGGAGCAGGAAGTAGCAATTAGGACCAGAAAGGAAACCATTCATTTTTCCACGACGACGACTGCTTTCTGTCATGTCCACAGCCTCTGTTCAGCAGGAAAAGTTTGATACAGAAAGGTATTTTCCAGACTACCTCAAATTAGGAGATCAAAATGGGGAGCTCTAATGAAGAATCATATCTGAAACAATCTTTCATTTCAGAACCTGATCAACCAGTGCATGGGCAGCATGAGAGGCAACAGACACAAACCAAATATTACAGAGAATATATTTTATTGTCATGCCACAAGGATATTCGTTAAAATGTGACTCAGTTAAGTTCAGTGTAGCATGTGTCACCGGAATCTTTTTGGATGTACACAAAGCTAGATAAAATGCTTTCCACAATTGGCCCTGGACCAATAGAAAAGTGCAGAAATATTTGCGAAAATTGTGGGGAAATTTTTAAATTTTGTGTTAAATTGTGGGGGTATTTGACAAATTTTGTGGAAAATTGCAGAGTGTTGATTTGTGCATTTTATGCTAACCTATANTTTTTCACTTATTGATAAAAAACTAAACATAAGGAAATAACATGAGATATTAATTTCTTCTTCAACAAAAACTGGGTGGTTCATTGGGGAGTGGGTGGAGGGGAAACACCAGCGCAGGCCCAAACGGCCTGGAAATCCACCAAAAAACAGATACTCAGGAACAGTGTCCCGACTGTGCGGCTACAGGAGCTCAACACCTCCTGCCTCTCAAGGCCAGGTACCACACACAGATACAGAAAGACAGACACATTTTCAGAGGGAGAAACAGGCACACTCATAGACACAAAGAGACATACACACACACACACACACACACAAAGGAGACACACATGTACACATTCACAGAGACACTCATAAACATACACACATAGACACACTCTCATAAACAAACATACATAGAGGAGATACAGACACACTCACACAGACACTCACAAACAGACACATACAGAGAAGAGAGGCGATTGGTCACATACGATTGGTGATCTTTAATTCCTACATATGTTTTGAAACAAATTCCTTTTGATTTAGTCAATTTCCAAATCACTAAATATTTAAAGTGCAATTTACGACTGTTGAGTGTGAATATCTAAAGCTGTTCTAAATGCACCTTTTAGTATCTAAATAATTCCTTACCATACTTAAAACTTCACTCAAACTAGGTAACGACACAGAAATTAATTTTGGCCAATGCCAATATCAAATTGAATACTAGGACAGTTATTTTCCAAACAGTTTCAGCAGGAAATAGAACTGTTTCCCATCCCCAAGTTAGCAGACATAACAGATTGGATTTCCTTGAAACCCGACATAAATGTCAGTCATATTCAAAACACTGTCACCAACAAGGGTAGCAAAAATGAGATGAAACATGAAACCCTATCAATAAAGTCTGTGATCATACCATTTCAATACATTTGCAAAGCGTGAGCAAAAATGGCAGAGCATATAAATGTGAATTGTGCTACAGTGACCTCCTTGTCCTTTGACCTCATCTGAACTCCCTCCCCTAGTTTAGATTTGTACACGGTTTATTTCATTCTCTCTCCCTTTGTCTCACAACCTCCCTGGCAGGTTTTCAAATCATGCTTTCAATCCTACCTCTTCCACTTTTGTCCACTGCTACCTTGCCACTGTAAAGTGGTCCAAGATATTGTGCATAACAATAATGCAAGTTATTGTCCACCACCCCTCCCTCCATACAGTTTACTCAATACACTTGCCCTTTCCTCTATCGGATTCCCAACCCTCTGCCATTTTAGATTAATCCCACCTTTTCACTTTCTCATTTGCCTGTATTAACTTTGAATTACCCTTTGTAAAACTATTTAGGACATTTACATGGATTGTCCTCTCTCTGCTTCCTCGTTCTCCTGGACCTCCCCGCTGGGTTCGACAGAGTTGATCACGCCATCAAGGTATTAAGGGATATGGAGAGAAAGTGGAAAATTGGAATTGATAGGATTAGTTGAGGTACAGATCAGCCATGATCTAATTAAATGGAGGAACAGGCTCAAAGGGCTGAATGGTTTACGCCTATTTCTATGTTCCTATCCTCGTCCACTGCCTCAACTCCCTCATTCACCTTAGTGGGACCGCATACTCATGGTTCCGAGTCCTACTTAACTAAGTGTCAACAATACATCTAGCAAATGTTTTTTTCTCACACCCCCGCCCGGTCACCTGCAGTATACCCTAAGCCTCCATCCTTGGCCCCCTTCTTTACCTGATCTATATGCTCCCTCTCGGCAATGTCATCTGCAGTCATGGAGTCAACTTCTGTATGTATGCGGATGACAAACAAATCTACTTCTAC